ACCCAACGGTGAGTTTAATGCTTTCATATTTCTTTAGTATATTTTATTTTGCACATGAAGTTTGATACATTATCTTAAAGCCTGATTTAAAACACTGGTTTGGGCCGTTGTTAATCTTACACCGTGTAGTGCCGGCATATCACTTCTCGCTACCTCCGAGCACCCCCCTCCCCACCCACCCACACCCCCCACCCCGACCCAATTTCCCCCGTTTTATTTCAAAAAGAAATACCATTTCAGGAGATGCTACCGCTAATGTAGTAAGCTAATATGGCTGCCTTGTGTGCTTCAAAGAGGGGCTGTGAACAGTTCCGACCCCACTCTGATCAGCTACTGTATTGTTAGCTCGGAGGTAGCGAGAAGTAATATGCCGGCACTACACGGTGTAAGATTAACAACGGCCCAAACCAGTGTTTTAAATCAGGCTTTAAGATAATGTATCAAACTTCATGCGCAAAATAAAATATACTACAGAATCGGACATCCATTGCTAATGTCTGTGACCTGAAGTAACCTTGGCCATTTTTACAGCAAATTTTTAGACGCTGAATTTGAGACAGTGAATTTGAGCAAGTTGAATTGGAGGACAACGAAAATATTGCATTTGAATTTTGAAAAGTTGAATTTTTTATATGCTGAATTTTTTAACACTGAAAATTTAAACAGTGAAAAATATGTATATTGAAAATTTGATCACTTTGAAATAGGAATGTGAATTTTTTTAATAACTGAAAATTGCAACCATGTAAAAAAAATTACACTGAATTTTTTTTTTATGTACAAATAATGACATTGAATTTTTTTTAGGTTAAAAATATATTCTGAATTTATTTTAATACTGAAAAAGTAAGCACTAATATACAACATTCAAATTTCAGAGGTATTTTTTATTCAAATTCTGATGGCACATATTTACTTCCATACTTTACCTTCATAGTTCTAATTTGATTTAATCTGTTTTCCTAAAGCTTTAATCCTGCATTGGTTCAAATTGATCAATTTTATTTAAAATATGTAAAATATGTGTTATTGCAGAATCATGAAAGTACTTCAATACTTACTTAAATCTTTATCCCAAAGATGATAAACATTATGTGTTTGTAAAACCCCCTCAATTTTTTTTTTCTTTCTTTGGTCCAGTTTTATTTATTGACCATAAAGACAGGGATCATACCACAAAAATTGAACAATAAATGTGATTGTTTTTCTTGGTAATAGACTTTTTATTTTAGGTAAGGCAAAATGAACAGTTTCAAACCAGAAATATTCATTCTCAGTTGCAACAATATAACATTAGAATTTAAATAAAGGACTTGGACATTTCTTCCTTTAAGTTTGAAGCCAGAAGTGGCTCCTAATATAAGAAATGTTTAACTATTTCTGTTCCTGTGTCTCCACAGTATTCACATGGTATTCACATAGTTTTCGCAAAATTTTACCACTTTACCTCCCCAGTAACTATAGTCAGAACTGAAATATTTGAAAAAATGTAACTTTGACAAATTAGTGGTTAAAAAAAATCCACTATCAATTTGTCAGGGGTGCTAATAATGTGTGAGAGTGTCAATAAGATAATACCAAAATATATTAAATTCTAATTGTATAAGCAAACTCTTAACCTGCTGTTAAATGTGGCACCCAGATTATTTTTGTGGTGAACAATAAAAATGTTTGAGTTAGATAAATTCCACACAAGCTGGCTAGTTAGCAGCCTGGTGGTACCTCTTTAAATAGCTTCTGACTTCCTCTGAGGAATGTGCTCCAGATAATAAAAGTGGTTTGGTGGCTCGCTCTTTCGTTAAGTTTCTAGCAGGTCCGTCCAATTCCACTTTTAAACGAGCCAATTCTCTATAACAGGAGCCTTGGCCCATTTAGGCGTACCTGCTACAACGTTACTCACTGAGGTGCTTGAACTGCCTCGTTAGTATATCATCAGGTTCTAGAGGGAACCGGTGATGAACGCTTATTTGGTCTAGATAAGCTGAATCAAGCTACAATCAAACGGATATTTAAAAAAAAAAATTGCAGAAGGAATTAGCATTTCAATAAGCCTTTAGTCAGACTTAAGATTTTGTAAGCATTTAGAGCTGTACAGTGATTGTTCCCTGCTGTACTGTAAAGCTTTGTGACATCCTGCCTGTGAAAACATGCCATGAACATAAATGTTACTTTCTTACTGCAAAAACCACCACTGGTGTTTGGTTACAACTCTCAGGTATTTAAAAAGAATTGCAATAGACAAAATTCCTTTTTTTTTTTTTTTTTAATAAGTTATAGTAATGTTAACTATCATACACTAGACAATGTAATTCTAAAATGCATATGCATTCACAGAGTTTGAGTAATCCTGGAAATGACAGCAAAATGTGATCATAATTGTGATGAACACTGAAATGTTTTTCATCCTGTAGCTTTATTTAGTGAACATTACACTCTAGTCACCTATATTTAACCCAGGCGAGCAACCTGATCTGACTTTTTAAATAGCCACTGGATCCTATAGAGAACTGATAATGAAAGGAGCTTCCATTGCTTGCATGATAATATTGAATTTTAGGGCATTTGTCTACAAATTCATAACAATATCAGATGATCATTGTGGTTTTATTCATCTTTTATTACAGAGCACAGTTTTTTTTGCAAATGAGAAATTAAAACATATAAAACATCATGGATCATTTTTCATGTACATTTCTCTGTTTATCTCTTTCTAATTAGTGGATATTCTCCAGGACACAAGATGGACAAACCCCTGGCATCAGTTGCATTGTTATGAAATAATATAATTACTTCATCACCACTTTGAAACACGGCAACATTCTTATGCAGATAGCAGGATTGAAAATTGACGATTCTTGATGCTAAATAAAAATCCTAGGGCTGCTGAATGGAGCAGTGGGCAGCACAGCAGCCTTGCAGCAAGAAGGTTCTGGAAGGTTCGAATCCTGGCCAGGGGGGCTTCCTGCATGGAGTTTGCACTTTCTCTTTGTGCATGTGTGGGTTCTCTCTGGGTACTCCAGCTTGCTCCCACATTCCAAAAACATGACTGTTAGGTTAACTGGCTTCCTTAAATTCTCCTTAGGTGCGAGTGAATGGATGTTTCTCTCTGTGTTGCCCTGATAGACTGGCGACCTGTCCAGGGTGGACCCCGCCTGTCGCCCGCAGTCAGCCGGAGAAATACACCAGCACCCCTCAGGATAAGTGTGATGGAAAATGGAATGGAAGTAAAAATCCTCCCTTTGTCTTTTGCATCCAAGTGGAAATGTTATTGGCTAATGAAGGAAATTCTCAGCCCATTAACCTTCTAAATAATCTGATGTTAAAGCCTGAATCTGCCATCTTCGCAACCAGAAGCTTAGCCTCCAACTTGGAGATGTGGACTAGCTAGATGTTACAGGGTCAATCAGAATACAGCAAACTGTACCTCCTAGTTCCTGTTTCTTCACCTTCTGTAGGATCAACAATAAGAACTACAGTATCAGGGTAGAAAAAAAACTTCAGACTTCTTTACCAAATCCAGACCCCCTTTAGACTTTTGAAGGACGTCAAATTAGGACAAAAGCCTTCAGAAAGCTATGACAAGTGCAAGTTACACAAATGTAGCGCACAGCTGAAGCTCTTTATTATAAAACCTAAAACATATGAAGATGAATACATTTGCATGTGTCACACACTGTAAAAGTGAAAAAATAATGTATTTTCCTTAACCTCCTGTCATGCAAAAGTTTGTGGGAATTGGTATAGCACCTCAGCACCAGATCCGGATGTCGGGAACTTCAGCACTCAGGACCAGCCAGGCAGGTAATCAATGTATGCAGACAGCAGGCCAAAAACTGGTGATCATTTTAGGATCAGTCTGCACTAATCAAGCTGTGCCAAAAAATAGGATTAGAAAATGAATGAGCACAACATTTGTATGTTACAAATAGATCACTAAAGACAGATTGGATTTCCCCCAAGTCCTCGCTAATTATTTTACACACTAATTAATAGACCTATGCTGTCAAAAGGAATAATCTATGGTTCTGCATAAATATTAAAAGAGTTACACATTTGTTATTTATCTCCAATTACATAGAAGACTCTGAGATTACTGCAAAGATTCATAACTTTCCATTCTAATAGTAATAATAATGATAAAACATTAAAACTAGTTTGAAAAAGAGCAGGATTTCCATGTTTGTCATCTTTAATGTTAGTATATGGATGTAAATACTTAATATCTGTATTAGTTTTCGTTAGTTTATGGGTAATATCCTAACAGTTTAAATGTGAAATTAATTTGGACTTTCCTCCTGAGAGTATCACTGCTGCTACCTTGTGTTTTAGAGTAGAACTGCTTGTTCTGGAGGAGAACAGTTACATCCAAAGTGTAGTGGTGGTCAATGGGGTGCCAACCCATGAGTCTGACTAATCTGTTATCTACTTTGAAATGTGGCAACAAAAAGTATGCTTTATGCATGTAGCCGTACAGTTCCTGTAAATAGTACCTGGTTTTCCTTTGAGGATTTAAGGCTAGCTTATGAGGAGAGGTTCATTTTTTTTACTGGGATCACAACTGTAAAAAAAAATGTCAAAATGCTCACTTGAAACAATAAACAGAAATATTTTGTACGTTTTATCGATTTTATAGGACAATCTGTATAAATTCATTCTAATTTACACTTATAAAGATATGTTTTAGTTTAAAGAGAGCAAAAATGTACACTGAATATTAGGAAAGAAAGAAATGATGCCATAAATACACTGTAAAAACAACAACAGCAAAAAGGAAATGTAGTCAGTCCTGGTGAATACTAAGCTCCAGCTCATTCAGGTCTGTGTCATTTCCAACAATAAACATCCTGGAAACGTCCAGCGGCTCGAGCCAGTCCAGAAAACTCTCTGTTCTTTAGTATTGCCACCTCGCACCCAATTTCAAAAAGCAGCTGGGCTGAGCCACTGGTGCCTGTAAGTGACTGCGGGAGGGGGGTGGGGGGGGGGGTGGGGGGGGGGGGGGGGTGGAGGTTTATTCTCAAAAGCTCTGGCTCTAAATAGCACCTTCACAACCTGTCTAAGAATAACAGCAAGAGCAAGACAGGAGGCAGAAACAAGACATGGGCTCTGTGCTGGCATACAGGCCATGTGAAGAGCAAAGAGAAGTTTCTGAGTGTTCACGTGTGCATTTTCAGCAGCAGGGCAGGACTTTTCACTAGTACATGGCATCCTCGTAAATGTCTGTTCGCAGGCAGAAGAGGATTCCTCCACCCAGCATAAAGATGGTGGCTCCCCAGCCGAGTCCGTAGCCCCAGTTGAACTCGTGATAGGTCTGCAGAACGGTTCCGTCTATAAACTTGATTGGGTAGAGGACCAGGGCACAGGCCTGCAAAACAACTAAAACCAGAGGTGCAATCATTAGACTGTGACTTAATGACCAAAGCTTAAGACTTGCACTTTGCTTAGATAAATCTGAATTTTAGTCAGAGTTCACTTCTTTTGATCTAGTTTAACTGAAAATTATTCACCAGACAAACAAAAACACTACCTGAAAATCCACCCCCCAAAATGTACAATAAAGTAAAATGTCCTACAACATATATATGAATTCATAAGACTATTATTAAGTGAATACCTTTTAAAAGTTAAAGTTATATGTCTAATGTTTTATTTCAGGCTAAATTGAAGTAGGTATAAGTAGTCATCATCTTTACCACAATAGAGAGCATTTTGAGTTGACAATTGGGGGAAAAAAATAAAAAGCTACAACTTTTGCAGCAGGACACATAAAAAAAACATAATTTAAAACACCAGAAACTCTAAATATACTTCTTTTTCTAGGAACTTCATGTACTTTTGCATAAGTTAGCTGTTTTGCAAAGGGAATGTTTTTTTTTTTCCTGAATAAATTTGTTTTTTTGTCCGCTAATATCCAGATCATAAAACATCCTATAGTAGTTCTGGTAAGTTTTCCTTCAAATGATCGGTCTTCCTAATTAAATACATCATTAAGTAAAAATGCAGCATCTTCAGTTAACATACTTTACAATGATAACTACCCTATATAACCACACCACACTTTGGAATCAAATTTAATATCTGCTTTTTAAATTCTCTTAATTTCAGTTTACAGAAAACAATGAAAATAAAATAAAAAATGTTTTTTATTTACTCAATCCTTTTTTAGTTAGAATCATATGAAAAAAATTAATGACATTTCTATTATAAATAGAGAAATAAACAAATAAGCACAGTATTAATTCTATGACTCAGCACATAAAAACTACCAACACAGATATTACCTTATTTTGGTGTAGATTATGTTCTATATTTCTCATATAAAAAGTCTCTTTGCATTTACTGAACTTATGCAATCTAATTAGGTATTCTACTCATAATTTAATATTGTTCCTTATTACTTTATCATTCCAGAATAAAAATGCTTCAAGACAATAGCCCCATTTACACTACTGTCTGAAAACGGATCCATGCCGAGCTTGGATCAGGTAACCGTCTGAGCTCTGTTCCTTACAACCATTTACACGCCACGCCAGCACGGTTCCTCGACTAGGTCTGTTTTCATAATCTTACTGAAAAGTAACAGTTACATAATTATTGATAATTAATCATAAATTATCATTACATTTTTTATTTTGCCGTCTATGTATTAAAATGAAAGATGAGTTTAATGTGGCAAAACGTAGGAAATAAATACTTGTAAGGCTCTCTATTAAATGAAGCTTTTAAAAAGAAGTGTGAAGAGTCAAAAGATCAACCATTTTTATTTTAATATCGACCTCACATATGGAGGAAGGCTTTAAAGGTTTTTATTTACTTCACATTTTTTCATCCCCATCCATCAGGGCCAAAAGTATTCAGATCAAAGACGCCGGTTCATTTTAATACCTAATGCAGGACTCTGGAGTAAAAGCCCTGCTTTAAATGTCTTTCCGCCTTTCCTTCCTACAGGAACGCATTGGGCATATGTAGGTGGAAATGGCAGAAGCCTGAGTGTGGTTGTGTTGACTGAGGCCAGACTGAGCGCACTGAGGTCATATTTCTGGAAAGAAAACAAATACCTCAGAGTCACGGTCCTCCTGCCAAGAGGCTTTTAACAATCCAGCCCTTCTGCTGCTGCTGCTCTGCTGAGGACTCCATCTCTATATGGAGACATTTTTTCCTCGCCAGACTCTTAAGGCAATTACACACAGGAAGGAATAACATGGCCTTTCAGTAAATGGGTAACAGGGGAAAGCCACGGCTGCAGACACCACTACAGAGCTCCTCTGTAGCAGCTGTTTGCAGTCAAAGCTTCCTTATCAATGTCCTTCAGTGTTAAGATGGAGCTGTTTACAGTAATGCTAAATGCTTGTTTAGATAACACCTCATCATCAATAAACACTGCTACTGTCAAACAAAAATAAGACATTGTTTATCATTTATCTGTCTTAATAACATTATTCTTACCCTTATCTAAAGGCTTATCTAATAGGAATTTTATATAATCAACTAAACCATATTACTGCATAATTGTGAACCTTGATGGGAATGATGTTTAGTCTAAAGAAAAAAAAAAAAAAAAGCTACTTTGAAGTTTAACACGCACAGATTTTGATTCTCCTTTAATGCTGTGTAGAACCATGGGAAAGTTTATTTTACCATGTAAAGAACAACTAAAATGATTTACTTGACACAATCTCCAAACAGTACTATTGTTATTTTAATAAATGCAAAGGAGAGTGAAAAAGTTAAAATTATTTAATTCCATATCTTCTCCAGAAGATAATATTCTATTTCATCAGTTTCCTTATTTTCAATAAAGTCAGTGTTCTTAACATGAATTTGTATATGTGCAAATAAGGAGCCGAACATGTTTAAAGACATAAATTCCATAAATTATTCTGACAGTCTAACCGATTCCAGATATGTGCTGCTGAACTTTTTATTTCTAGAGTTAATTTACTTATTATTATTTTTTCATCTTTACAAGGTAAAATATGAAAAATTTTACACAGTTCTTAGTTTTAATAAAAAAAATAAACAAAAAACAAAAAACAAAATATCAACAATGGATATAAAATAGAGGGAGCAACCATGCATGTCCATACATGATCTCAAGGCATGGCTGCTGGATGCGCTCATAAATCGGCCAACAAATACATAGCAGCCGATAACCATAAAAGAAAAAAAACATACTAATATTGATAAAACATATCTGACCACAAACTTCTCAGTTCATTTTATAATATTTTACAAATATATATAGATACAAATAAATATATACACATGGAACAATAATAAGATACACTCTTTGTCATATCTCTTGAAAAATAAGGATTTTAATCCCTTTTTAAACTGCTTCCTGTTTGGACACTCCCTCAGCTTCTCTTCAAACTGTTCTATAGTCTTACTCCACACACAGAGATATAACAAATTGCATGAAATTAGGTTAAAATTAATCTGTCCTCTTAACTGACAACCTGCTTCACTTTTATTAAATAATTTTCCTGAATATTTTTTGATTACTATTAATGTTTCATATTTAGATTCAGTTAGGAAGTACAGTAACACAGTAATGAAGGGGCAAATATTATGAGTGATGGAGTCTTTTAAGATAAAGGATTGAATTCATTACAAACTTAACATGCATTATTAGAGTCGGTTTAAAGAAAAGTCTGGAAAGATTTGAGGCAGTTAAAGATTAAGTAGATGAACTGAGACGTTTCAATTATCTGGTGATGACTAAACAGAGGAATTATGGAGAAATAAACACGTCTGATTCTCATATAACAGCAACAGGAGGAACAGGAAGGTTTCTGTGATTTAAGACACACTTTGTCCTCATCGGCTCATATTCTGTCATATCAGGTTGATCCGTTGAGTCTATGTTTTCGTCATATTTCTGAAAGGAAAACTGGTTTACTGTTTTTAGCCTATTAATACATTAGAGCTGAGGGCTAGACACCTACCTTTGAAATGTGAACTTATCATAATAGAGATTTAGCCCAGGAAGTCTGAAAAAAATCTAACCCGTGTTTTCTGATTTTTTCCTTCTAGGCAGGGTTAATACATTCTTTTAAAAAACCTGTAGCTATTATTGCTTCCAAACAAGTGAAAATATCCACTTTGTTTTCCTTTGTGAAGGCCACTGCTGTAACTGGCTGTGTTTTATTGACAAAAGCAGTTGTTCTGTGTATTATTGTACGAGATGTTTGGCAGCCTAAACACCCAGAATTCGACTTTATTTGCATTTTGGAAGCAGGTTTGAATCTATTCCATCAACTGGATTTCAAATATTAGTGCAAACAGGCCCTGTCTTTTTGAAATGACGGCTTTGATTCTAACCTTCCTGTGTACATTTCCATGGGGCAACTGTGTACTTCCAAGATGGCCGCTGGGTTCTTTTTGTGACACTGTTGTAAACACCTTATTAATTGTGTTTTTTCAAGCGAAACCAAGTTCATATGAGCAATAAACACTTGTCTTCCTGCATATTTATGGTGCTCATGTTACTTCACAGTTGTTCTTTGTTTCAAACGGCGCCAAATGTTTCTGATGAGTGATGGTCAGAGCTGCAGGAAGGCCAGTTCAGCACCCAGAATAGACTTTTGTAATAAAGCAGAAAATATGTGGTAAGGAAGCCAGATATCGCAATATAAAAATGTATTTATAGAAAAGTAAAAAAAAAAAAACAAAAAAACACTATAGCTGCAATACCTTGTTGTTGTTGATTGTTAAATCACCTGAAATGCTCAATTTGCAAGGGTTTCCCTGCTGGCTCTGGCAAACTTTTGGAGAGAAACAGGCAGAAGCATCGCGGCATTTCCTGGGTTCAGCGTGCTAATTAGGCTGACAGTTACCAGGTCAGTAAACAGTTCAATAACCGAGGAGGAATCTCTCCCAAAATAAACTTTTTTATCACCAAAAAAGGTGGAGGACATGGAAAAATCTCTGTAAATGTGGGAAAGTTAAAAACAAATCCTTAATGTTTGCCTTATTTCTTGAAAAAAAAAAAAGATCTACAAAGAAGCAGTTGCATTGGTTACCCATTAGCTTTGACACAAATAAATAAAAGGAGAATAAAAACCTTTTTGTTCCAAAAGAAAAAAAAAATGTAAAAATTGGAATTTAAACTCTGCCCACTTTAATCTGATCCCACTAAATAGAGTTCACTTCAATTATTTTTCCTCTCTTTCTGAGGTTTACGACAGATAACTGGTGAACAAACAGCACCAGGAAAACAAGCAAACACAGAAGGCAGCTTGGGTTGAAATTTAATCCAACTTTAAAAAGCTCCTAGATCACTGTTCCCCACCTAAACTAGCGGGCTCGGCTTGGAGAACAAAACACAGAGAGCAACTAAGAGGCCTACAGTTACTGTTGAGGAACTTGCTTAAAATAAGACATATATTACCAATACTTCATCTTAATGCAAAACAAAAGAAATACATAATTTAAATAACGCCATAGGGAGCTGCAGTTGGTTTTTGGTTTACATTCAAAACACTGTGAGTGGCTGAGATTTGATGAGGAGATGCACTGCAGTGTAATATTGAATGAAAACCTGATAGAGGCTGGTAAATAGATCTGAGGGTGAAGCTACCTTCCAGCAGGACAATGAACCTGATCCCAGGCTTTAAAAATGCTGCTCAGCAATGCAGAGTTAGAGTAGAGTAGAGTTAGAGTAAGAAATCTTTGAAAGAATGGAAACAATATCCCTATCTTGATATTTAAAACTGTAAGGACTACAGTCTGAAAGTCAAAGATCATAGAAATTATCTTTCTTCCATTCACAATCATCTGCTTTTCTATGAAACGGTGTGTTACATAACATCATAACATTAATGTAAATCATATCAATGTCTTATGTTTACATTTGATCACTGCTGCACTTTAAGAAATGAAAATCTCATGACAGCTGTACAAAATTAAATTTTGTTTCTGTATAAACACTGCCATTCTGTATGTACAAAATGACAATAAAGTTTGTCTAAGTCCAAGTTTTAGTCTACATTAGGTCCCAAAAAGGTGCCATTAACTTTGAGAGTCTCATAGCATGTAAAAAAAAAAATAAAAGGTTAGAGCAAATTCCAAACCCTTTAACTAATTATTTTTCAAATATGTTTATCTTATTTAGAAATAAATAATTATTTTTTAATTGAAAGAACTAAAAAAACAGCAATGAGGACTAAACGTTTCTTTTAGACGTAGAATGGTGTGACATCACACACCATCTATATGTTTATTTTTTTACCAAAAGCGTAGCATAGCGTAGTAGGGGTGTAAATAATAATCGTTTTGTATCGATGCATCGATCCAACAGCCGACGATCTGATGCATCGACACGTTCGCAAGAGAATCGAATCATGTTTTTTTTTTTCTCCGGTCTATTTTTATCCATTTGCTCCTGGGCGTAATTCTCCCTCCCGTGCTGCAGTGGCGCTAAATCCATTTTGCCCTCCACCTCGCTTCCTGGTTATACTCTTACAGCAGTGTGTTGCAGTGAGCTTAACACAGACATTTTTAAATTATGCTCAATATTGAAGCGTGGTCTGTGCTACACACTGTGGGTCTAGATACGGCCGAGGCGTTGAGGAAGTGGGGGCGAGTTTAGTCCGACGACGGAAGGACATGAGGGCCAAAAAGAGCGGAGATCCACGTGGAAAAAGGGTCCCAGTGTTCTCGCGCACCTCACTCTTCTAGCGGGTCAAACTTCACGAGTTGTTTTCCACAATTTCGGTCATAAAAACCAAACAAGCTGGCCTCCTGTCTGCGGCACTGTTTGCGGTCAGCTACAATTTGGGAGAGGAGCAGCAGAGCGTCTGTGGAGGCGGCGGGGACGTCTGGAGCCGAGGTATTGCATTGCACTGCATTTTTTTATGCAACTTTTCTACTTCTGTTATTTGCTTTTGTTTCTAAAAAAAACAAAAAATGCATAATGATATTACAGCTTTTATTGATTTATTTAAAACTTGAAACTTTGTTTAGCCTGTAAGTTGTAAAAAAAAATAAAATTTCATGGATTAATCGAATCGAATCGTGGTGTATTCTTGAGTATCGAAAATAATCGAATCGTTGGGTCAGGAAATCGATACTGAATCGAATTGCCATGATGGATGTCATTTACACTCCTATAGCATATAGGAACAACTAACTTTGATTGGTTTAGCAAGGGAGCTACTCCCGTCGTATTGAAATCATGTTACTAACTAAAGAGCCGTTTGATGCTAATGGTGCAGCACTTCATTCAGGGTTTAATTACTCTGTTATTGACAAAGAGGATGGAACACCTGCCAAAATAAAGCAATGAAAAGTTACTTCTTCACTAGACATGTTCCTGCCAAATGTGAAGCTGTTTTGCTGAGTAAGCATGCAAGACAACAGGTGGGGGTGGGGGTTGCAACTGGAGCGGAGAGAGGTGTCACTTGTCACACATCTTGGTTCGGTCAACAGTCAGTGCTTAAATGCCCCACCTACTGGTGAACTTTCGTTTCTTGCTCCTTTAGACATTTTAGACCTAACATTTATGTTATTTACAGATATAATTATATGTGAAGAACATCTATGCCACTTCTGTTGGCAAAGTGTAAATGCATTTCTACGCGGAGATGCAGGGAAACAGTTGATTATGTTTATCTCCAGACTACAAGACATCTGTTTCTTATAAAATTAATTTAATTTTAGCGCCTGTACAGCTGGAAGTCAATATGAGCAATGTGCTGTGATAGTGAGTGGTTAGAGTTTCACCACCGTTAAACTCAATGCAGCTTGATCCATGACTCGAGTTATTACAGTCTCTTTATTCCACATGGAAGAATGCGTCCTCATCTTTCTTCCTAATTATATGTTTCAGAGTTAGATCCTCCCATCTCAGCTACAGTTTTGTTTGGCTCTAAAGGTCTTTCCACAAAGCAGGACTCCAACCTATGAGGCAACGCTGGCTGAGCGGTCTCTGATGATTTCTTTACCACATCCCTCTGTGACTTTACTTTAGCGTGTAAAGCTTCAAATTCCACGGCTGCTTTTTTCTTGGCTCAAGCAGCAGCAGCCTTCCAGATTGAATCCGCAAAAAAAAATGAGCTCACCCATCAACCCTCATTCTGATGTTTTGCTTTTTTTCCTTATTCTTCTTCTGTTTAATAGGTGTAAAAAATAATAAAACATGCGTGCATGGAAACTATTGTGGCAAATGCTAATTGATTGGCTCTTGAATCCCCATATGTACCCATTTAAAAAGAGGCTGACCTACCTGCAGTGAAGAGGAACACTGCTACAATGCGGTAGTGCTGTCTCTTTGTCCCCCAGCAGACAGAAATGAGGGCCACCAGGAAAGCCACCAGAGTAGCGACCGCACCGGCCCCCAGGAGCACCAGGGTGGCAATCTGCCAGTCTGCAGGACAGATACACAGGCAGGTTAGAGGGGAGCATCCCACTCCAAAAACAAAACCTCGATGCAGAGTGCAACACGGCTGAATTGAAACGTTTGTGTTGAACAACACAAAGAATGTGCTAATTCTATACAGAGAACCGAACACAGCAGAAGAGCCTCAGGCCTGCAGGAGAGAATCAGGAACACAAGAAAAAAAGCAGCTTTTCAGAAGTATATGGAGTGAATTATAATCCATTATTTGAAAAAAAATTTAATAAAAGAATAATAACTTTAACTAGATTTTATATTTTCAAATGTTTTTTCCTAATTAAGTTTTTAAATTTTCATTCTTTAAAACTGTGTTTTAGAAAAAAAAAAATCCCTGAAAAATTGCCGCATGCTTGAACAGGCTCCGGAAAACTTGAAGCCCTGGATTTTAGGACGGTGGGGCACGATGCCAAGTGAATGTTGCAAACTTTCTGCAGAGTCGATCAATACACACCTCCGAACTTCATAAGGGGTTGAGATCAGCTCACAGAGAGCTTCATGGAATGAGTTTCTATGGTTCACCAGCTGCCATACATCATCTGGTTCTCTGGGTTTTCAGTTTCCAGGAGAAAGGTACTTGTCTAACTGCATTGCGCCCAGTGCAAAGTTTGGAGGAAGGGGGATAAACAGTGTTGGGCTTGGTCCCTTAGTTCCACTGAAAGGAACTCTGAATGCTTTTGGACAATGTGGAAAAAAGGTTTAGAGCTGGTCCCTTTCTCTTCCAACATGACTGTCCTGTGGCAATGAACTTGATTGGCCTGCAAAGAGTCCTGACCTCAACCCATTAGAACTCCTTTGTGATAATTTAGAGAACAGACTGAGAGAGTGGCTTTCTCGTCCAACACTAGTGTGTGACCTCGTAGATGTGCTTCTGGAAGAATTGTCAAAAATTCCCATAAACATACTCCCTAAACCTTGTATACAGCCTTCTAAGAAGAGCTCAGTGTTTCACCTGCAAAGGGTGGAGCAGCATCATATTGAGCTTCTATTGATTAGGAAGCGTCACTGAAGCTCATATTATAGTCAAAGGCGGATGAGTAATTACTTCTGGCATTAGAGTGTAACTTGTCCAGGGGTGATGCTGGAAAACTAGTCAAGGCATTTGTTATTTCAAGGCTGGACTGTTGTAATTATTTTGTACTTAAAAGCCTCAAACTGATCCAAAATGCTACAGCTAGAGTTCTGATGAAAATAAAAAAATATAAATTTCTCCTATCATAGCTTCCATTCATTTGCTTATGTACCTAGAGGAATACACTATCAATCTACAGTACTAGTGGTTCCAAGATTTTCTAAATTAAAAATGGGAGGCAGATCGTGAAGTTTTAAGGCTCTTCTCCAAAGGAACCAACTACCAGTTTTAGTCCATGAGGCAGACACCATGTCTACTTTTAAGGGTAGGCTTAAAACTTTCCTTTTTGATAAAGTTTATGCTTAGAGTGGCTCAGGTTATCTATAGAGTGCTGCTATAGGCTTAGACTGCTGGAGGACATAGGTACCACTTTTTATTTTTCTGCTTCATTCTACTTTGGTCTTCAATTCTCCAGAAGAACATGTAGGCCAGGAGCTGCATAGATTTGCTGTTCAGAGACACAAAAATGTGCACTCCCTCCCCCTAATCTGAGCTTTTATAGAAGATTAGCAAAAGCAGCTTGATAGGTAATAAAGCCAATCCAGTCTGCAGCTGAACAAAAAAAACAACAAAAACATTTAGGTGAGAAAACACCACTTTCCCTCACTGCGACAGAAACCCTGTGGTGAAACCACACTGAGAAAACCTGTTGATAGCTGAAACAATGTTTTTCTTTAACCTAAATTAACAGGATAACACTTCTTTAAAAGGAAGTCCTGGCCAAAAGGCAACAACCAATAAAATGAAAAGTAACACAAACTGAAGAAAAACAATAAATTATGAAAACAGGTGCATGTTAGTAAATCACACTTGAGAACTTTTTGAATGAAAGTAAAAGTACTTAGTGAGAAGTATTCAGTTTTTTTGAAAGTTTTCTGAATCAAGTTCCAACCCCCCCCCCCCGTGACAATTAATCACAATGGTGGGTCGACACTACATGGCTTGCAATGAACCGTAGAGAAGGGAGAGAAACACTCTTGCCTTTTAAGAGTGTATATAAATTAGGGATGTAAACAAATAATGAACTAAACTAAAAAAGGTGAGGATGATAGAAATGTGGATGACTTTATGCAAAACATGTTTTACATGACATAAAAAAAACATGCAAGCACGGTAGTGGGGAAGACTTTTGTGACTTAAAAGGTATTAAGGGGGATCTTTTATTTTCATCTAAATAAGTGCTGCTCCTCATTGTCAATCATTCTGGTGATATTTTTACGTAAAAGACGTGTTCATCCCGTTAGCTATATTTTTCTGTGCACTTTTAGGCGTATATCTGTGGTGGGCTACGGTTTCAGACAGCTATTTAAGCAAGGAGAGATCTCCTTGCAAAGCATTATGGGCTTGCTCTCACAGCGGCCCGCTGTCGCCATAGGCTGCCGCAACACGACTGCGGCAACTAAAAACAAAGATGCCGCAGACACCGCGCAGTGGGAAGTGATCATCTGTCTGAACGGTAAGTTGACTGAGTTCACTATAAAGTCCACTATATAGTCCACGCTCTATATAGTGATTGAGGGATTTAGGGTTTAGGGCTGAAGTTCGGACACAGTAAGCTTGAACGAGCTATAAGAACACCAGGAGAAATGGGCTTGTGCATGCTCTCTCACATGCAATTTTTTTTTCTTTAAAGTGGAGAGGGCGGGTCTTTTAATAAAAAAAAATTGAGAAAATCCTCCACAAATACCGTTAATGCACTTTTTGAAGCTGTTTTAACATTCCTTTGATGGCAACCAGAACCCACACCCATCCCCTGTGTAACAGCACTGCTAACAGCACTATGTCTCTCCCAGGACCAAATACATGCTTAGACTAAATACAGAGAGCTATAACAGTTAGCATCCACTTCTTCAAAATAAAGTGGTTAATAGTCTGACAGCACATCAGAGCGACATCCCCTGCCTTTCAACCATAGTTTTACACCCCTATACATTGGATTTACGTAAATCTTTTATTTGGTAACCTAATAGTTTCCTGTTTTGCTATATCATATAAATAAGTTTAACAACGTCCCACTGGGAGGAGGCATAAGGAACAGCCCAGGACATGGGGAAGAGGCCATGTCTTTAAGTTGGCCTGGGAACTCTGGAGAGGGTGTCTGGGGAGAGGAAAGTCTGGGAATCTGCTGAGACTGCTGCCCTAGTGACCCTGTCAAAAATAAGCAAAAGTTTAGGGCTGAAACAATTCATCTGATAAATCATGATTAATCGATTATTGAAATAATCCTCAACTAATTTACTAATCAATTAATCATTACCTCGAGTATAGAGGCTCTAAAACCTAGCTGACAGAGGGACCCGCTTAGAGCACTAATTATTTAGAAAAAGTTAATATTTTGTATTTAAGATAAAAAAAAAAAGTTTTTTGGTCTATCAATATGCTCCATCCAGATCTCCATTAGTGTAAAAGTTTTAGATACACCTGGTTTAATTCCTAAAAAATTTCTTTAAGGAACCTTTTGCTATCAGATTATTAATTGATTAATTGAAAAAAATAATCGACAGATTAATCGATTAGCAATATAATGGTTAGTTTTTGATTCCAACCAAGTTTAATAAAAATCTATATTTCTTGTCTGTTCTGTACTATTTCTTTTTATGGAGAGATCCTCTTCATACAAGAGAAAACTAAGGTTTTAAGAAAATGGCAGCTTATCAATTAATCATTAGTCGACCAATAAGAACAATTCATTTCAGTTTTCAGAAATGTCATTAATCGATAACATGCATCACTAATATAAATGCAAACCACACTTTACAGATTGTTTGTAAACTATGTATAATGCAATAATAAACCACTTTGTGCTTATAAGTTCAATACCGAATAAAGACGTTGTTTTTTATGCAACAAAACCTAACAAACTTCTAAGTGGCGTAATATTTTTTTTCTTGATAGGGTTGCATTTGTTTTAAGCGACAAAGACACTCATGATCCACATTTTTTAGGCTGAGCTCATGGGGAATTTTCAAACAAGGAAAAGTGTACACCTTAATGTGACTCACTGCATACCATAAGAGGACAAAAGAGTGGCGCCTTCTAACTTCCAGGATTAATCCTAAGCCTGAATGTGCATTTAGCAGAAATCTCAGGGGAAATCTCCGCATTGATGTTCTTCCTCCAACTGGGTTGAACCTAATTGTTTCCTCCATCAGGAATGTGAACAATCTAAAGAGGAACTAAAGGCATTCTTTAACATCGCACTTGATGTAACTCTGTGGCACTGAATCCTTCTTTAGCCTTGAACCTGAGGCAGATTGTTTATGGACCGATGAACAAAAAAAGAAATATATCTTTTATAATGAATCTAAAGCAGAAAACTTCATAAAGTTTCTTGTCTGTGCATACAGCACAACTGCAAGTGTTGTGCTGTATTACAAGGTCACAAGCACTTTCTACTTGAAGGACTTTGGTTCAGGGATAAACCAATATGAACATCCCCTTCTGAAAACAGAAACAGCAACTACCTGGAAATAAATAATGGTTATTATTATAAGCCCAGTTTTACCTATCTGACCAATATGTAAAAAAATGAATGAACTACAGATGGCAGTTCATGAGTCTCCACCTATGACTGAAAACCCCATTTTCTGTCAATGTCAGTGACTTTTAGAACAACTACTCCAAATAATCTGCGGTTTCTCCATCCATAAAAGCAAAAATTAAGTCTTTCTTTTTACATCAACATATTCTTCCTGGGAAAACCCTCCACAACAGCAGGAGAATTGCTCATTTTACACTTTTGTTTCAAGCTGGACCATTTTTTTTGCAGAGTGTGCCCTAAGAGAGTCTCTCACAGCCATAAAAGATTAAAAATGGATTTAGGGCTAAAACAAATTAACGGATTAGTCGTGATTAATTGATTATTGAAATAATTGTCAAATTATTTAGTTATTGTTTAATCTTTAACTGGTGTATAGAGACTGTAAAACACGCCTTTAGCTGACCGAGCGAGTAATTATATAAAAATTGTAAAAAAAAAAAAATATGTAGACAATTTGCACTTAAGATAAAAAAAAACAACACTTTTCGTCTTTCAGTATGTTCAAGTGGAAACATTTTAGTTTCACCTGGTTTAATTTAGTAATTTATGAATTTAGCAATCAAAGTAACAATCTCCTTTAAGGAACCTTTGGTTATCAGATTATTAATTGTTTAATCTGAAAAAATAAACAATAGATTGTTGTCTGTGATGCTTTAAACATCTGGTACATAATAAAGATTCAGAAGAGGAAAATTTTAGCTCATCTTGTTAAAATCTTCAGAAGGAAAATTTTTCACCATCTTTAGTACATCATGTGGTTAAATATTTGCTCTGACACAGAAAAACAAAACTCTCACATTACAAGCATATTTTCCTAGCTCTTTTTTTTCTGATGTTTTTCAATCCAGTCACCGGCATGTTGTTATCTCTAGAACTGCCTCCGTTTTATGATGTTGTTCTAAAAATAAATACGTTGAAGAACCTTCAGATGAGCATGAGAACATGTGGATGATCGCCCTTTGTTGCCGTTTGCTGATCGGCACCTTTAACCCCAGCACGCCCCACTCCACTGTTGTTTCAATGACCTCAAAGCAGTGAGCCCGCCTCCCATTCTCCCAGCACATTCCACAGTGTCAGAGGGAATGCGGTCACCACAGGCTTTTGGTCCCTCTTTGTTTCTGGAGAGGATTGTGAGACGGACTGGTGCAGCTACTGCACTGTACCTTTATGCAGCAAGACATGCTACAGTTAGCTGAACAAAATGCTTTATTACAGAAGTTAACACTTTAAGTTAACTTCATAGCATCAGCAAGTTGTTTAATATCAAATCATCACAGATATACTAGATGCTACTTAGAATGTGTCTGAATTTTGAGCCACATCTCTGCCTCCATTAATGGTTGTGAGAGAGCAAGTTTTTCAGCAGATAATAGGAAGGCTAAATGTATTGAAGCAAAGTTTCCCAGACCCCTTTTTCAGTTTACAGCATCAGTTATGAATAGTGCTTGATTTTGAATTGTCCTGATAAAGATCTACATTGACCGGAAAAAACACACTTGGACAGTCGGTTACAGCTGCAACACCTAAACATGCAAAACGCTAATATATGTTTGCTGAAGATAGTCTTTCCCTACTTATAATGAACTTTCTTTGCTGTAATGCGACTGCTTTCCTGCTCACACAGTGTGGCATCACCTCTGCTTCTAGGAAGCAAAGAAAATGTTGAGAGACCATTTTTGTAATAAGTTTACTCGGAGTTTTGTTTGCTTCATTCCTCTCTTCAAAATGCAACAAAACGCCTTAAGACCGAATTTAAAACCAGCAAACTTTAAAAGAATATATAAATCTGCAGCTTGTAGCTTGTTAAATTTGAATTCAACGTTTGCCTTAGTTTGCATTTTACTGCCTTAGAACCAAATAAACCAACTCAGTGGTTGAATTTAATAGATGAAGCTAAAGGAATTTAGCTGATGAGTTCTCCAAGATCAGTTAAACTCTGTTTATACTGAAATATTTAGAATAGAAATAGAAATGTGCTTTTACAACTCAATGATCTCAGTGATTCAGTGGCAGGTGCATGGTAATACTACAGTGCTGATACTCACACCAGTCACACTCATGGCCTATAGGGCAAATCTGGCTCACTGTAGCAGATATCCAGGACCTCTGGACCCAAAAACTGTTATTGGGTCATAAAGTAGAGGCTTATTTAGTTTTAAAGTCTACAAAGTGGCTGAAACTGATAAATGAATGGAAGTAAAGTTATAATATCAAAGCGAGGGGCTCTTTGTAACAGGATTGAGGAAATCAAAAGTTTTATCATACAGCTGCAAGTGTCCCTTTTAAAGATTTGATGATGCTCTAAAAGCCTGATATAAAAATGGCCAACTGTGTGAACCAACGCATAGTGCTACTAAAATACTATTCCTGATTTTTATTTGATATAAAACTTTTATTAAAACAATAATTGTACTCCTAAATAATGTTGAATGTTTCCTACCAAACATGTTGTGAGGTCTTTAAAACATCTTAGATCATTTTTTAGTTTTGCAAAAAAAGAAAAAAGAAAAAGAGAATTTGTGGTTCTGTTAAGCATAATTAGGTCCAAACAGGAGCGAAGCTAGATGGGGGCCATCCTTAGCCAATCATTTGCCACCCCTGTGGCCACACTTATTATTTTCCCTCTAATACAGATGGTGGCAGCAGCAATACTCTAAAGTGGAACATTCAAAACATTTAATTTTTTCATATATTAACAATAACTTGACAACAAAAACACTGGTTAATTATGCACGTCAATATACTAACATTAAAGAAGATAAGTATGGAATTTATCCACTTTTCAGAACTAGATTTTGTTTCATATGGGGTAAAGAGAAAAGGGGGTGTCTCTGCAAAACATCTTCAGTCAAATAATAGATTAAAAAAAATTATTAATAAAAGCTTATTAAATTTATGTAGATATTAGTACTTGTAAATATCAGTTTTATGCATAGTAGGTAAGTAATGACGATAGAAGATGGATATTTGCCCCAGAACTCACACCTGAAAGATTTTTATCCAGTTAACCTTTTATCTAGAAAGCACAGATGTTTATTTTTTTTTATTAGCAAAAGGCTGTAGGAAAGTTTAGTTTGTCTTTATTTAGAAAATATGGACGTGCTTATTAATTTTGCTGTTGGAACAGAGTAGATTGGCCCTGAGGTTCTGGTGCCTATCCGCTTTCAGCCCCCCCTCAGTATGCATTGGTTAGTGCCTGGCCACCCTTTTAAAAATGTTCTAGCTACGCCTCTGTAATTAGGTCCAAACTCTCAGAAGATGAAGTTAAAGACAGGGTTTGTACAATAAACACAAGAGGAGAATAACTGAGAAACAAAGAAGAAGCCTCGTTCTCCTACCAGATGTGAGGGTGGAGAAGCAGTTCCATGCCGCTGCCTCCTCCGCGGGCTGCCGGAGCCCGGACTGGGAGCAGGACTCCCAGAGAGACAGGGAGAAATGCTCGGCAGTGACCCAGGCTGGACTCAGCAGAGCCACCACGTCCAGGCAGAGCGCCAGGAAGACGCAGAACAGGGCTATCAGCTTAAAGGGCCGGAACACGTACACCTCATCCACAGACATGTCCTCAGTGACCGTGATACGCGCAGCTCTCCAGAGGTCTGTGTGCGTCTCCTCTCACCATTCCCCTCACTGGAGCTTTGTCTCCGAGACCAGCTGCGAAAGTTCCCTGGACACTTCCGGTTAGATGGACTTTTCACAATAAGTGCACTGGTGCCCCCCTTAAAGAAGTTTGGATTTATTTTTTTTTATATACCATATTTATTTAAGTAATTAAAATGTGTATCATATTTGGTTCGTTATGATAGCTAATAAAATTTTATTTATTAACGTAGTTCATTTTAACAAAGAGTCACCTGCAATCAATAGATTTATATGACACTTCAGATAATAATACAAGGATAATCATATTTTAATTCAAACAGAATATAAAACCTGCTGTCTTTTTCCCAGGGTCTACTAAAAAAAAAATAACAAATGCAAAACAATTCCCTTTCATACATTTAGCATGGCGCCGCAGATGGCAGCCACGGTGTGTTGGTGCGCACTTTTTAGTTTCTTTTCTTATTTTGCTATTTTGTTTTGTTTTTTGTCTGCACCAACAACACCAAGTCAAATTCCTTGTAAGTGCAAACCTACTTGGCAATAAACTTGATTCTGATTCTGATTCTGATTCTGATTCTGATTCTGATTCTGATTCTGATCTAGGCCTAACTTTATGGAGGACCAATCCTGCCATAATTAAAAATAAATACAGAAATTACTAAATGCTCCAAAAATAAATAAGCATACAGTTAATTGCCCCCCAAAATACAATAAAAAATTTATTTAGATAGAAATTAATTTATACAGTGAAACATAAATATATATTTATATATATCTTTTAATTAGCTTCTTTGTTTATTTGCCTAATAAAGTAATAAATAAATAAATAAATAAAGTTAAAGATTATAACAGACAATAAATAAATTCTGTACGCATTTCTCACTCATTATGCAAATGAGGAGGAGTGTGTCTTAAGGGCTCAACTTCTTTCCGGAGCCAGCCGGGGACGGAGCGAACAAACCCAACCCGGTTACGGTATGCTTCCAACCGCCTGCCCTACAGTTCTTCCCCCCGCCTTCCCGGTAAGGTGGGAGCAACATGCAAATAAATAAATACTTATTTTATACTTATTTTTGTAGCATTTTTTTTTATTTTTTTTCTGTATTTATTTTTAATTATGGCAGGATTGGTCCTCCATATTTCTTAAATAACCCCCCAAAATATTCACCCTCAGCGGATAAAGAATAGTGAAGTGATCTTCCATCACATTTAGGTCAGATGGATGCAACCATGGCAGTAATAATAAAAGTAATAATAATAAAAAAAAAAAAAATACTTGTAAAAAAAAAAAACTTGAATTTGATATAATTTCACTTAATCTTAGGTATTGAATATTGCATATAAAAAAAAAATCAAAAATATTTTTGAAATTACAAGTTAAATAATACATAAACGCTTTATAAAATAAATTATAACTACATTATTACAATGTAAAATAAATTACTACAACCAGCTGTTACTACAAATAATAATAAAAACTAATAATAGTAATTGTTGCACTTATCATATTTTCTATTAATTATACTCTGACTGTTATGTCATTTTTCAATTCTTCTTGGACTTCTTTGCACACTATGAACTAATTAAAAACAAATGAAAAATATGCCAAATGGAAGAACCTTCTCTAGACAAAGCTTAACAGGCACTGCAACTTTAAAGTTATTCAATGTTTGGTTTTTTGTTTTCTCTCAACTGTCAGAACACTTCTCCTGAAAAGTGGGGTCAGCTTTTTGCAGCAGTTGTAGAGAAGTCTACCCTTCATTTTTATATTCAAGGTCTTTTATTTTGAAGAGGACGCCATACTACCTTATTCAGTAACCTCTGCTTGCCATGGTTTTTTTTATTCGTGCCAATAGCTTGCATGTTTGGAAAATCTTACAGCTGCACGCTTAGATTGGTAACTGGTAACTCAAGTTGCTAAAAAAGATAAAAAATATAAAGGCTCCACCAATCCCTTTATTGTGTCAGACCATCACTTTTTAGGATCTATACTGCTGTGATTGAAAACATAAAGAATAAATGGAAATTATGCAATAAAAAAGCTTTCTAAAAAACAAAAACAAATTGCCATTGATAATTGGGATAACTATCAAGCACAATCGACTGAAGATGAAGATGAAAAAAACATCAGGACATTTAGCCCTAGAAGTATAAGCATATTATGAATAATTTAAAAACTTTATTTCAGACAGTCCAGCAAAATTACTAATTTAACACATAAAAACACTATATACATTATAATTTAGAACTTATGTCTGAAAGAGGTGGCACTTATTAATCAAACCCATTTTCTTTCCTAATTGATTGATTTACTTAATTGATCTCACTGTGGAGAAATGTACTCGTTACATCAGCTCAATCGTCAAAAAGAAGAAGAAGGTGCCAAAAAGGTGAATAGGATATATATGAATATATATATATATATATATATATATATATATATATATATATATATATATATATATATATATATATATATATATATATATATATATATATATATATATATATATATATATATATATATATATATATATATATATATATATAGGGTTATTGCTCACGGTATTCCCTTGTACTTAAAATCAGCAATCATCCTCATTTCAAATTAACTTAGTCCTTATAACTCCAAAGTCCATAAAGTGACCAAATAAATGAATGAATGTATATATGAACATATTCATAGACACCCACACCTGTCTACAGAATTCTTAATTTATACAATTATTACCCATAACCCACATAACCGCAACCACTGAAAAAATACGTATACACCCATCTATGCTGACTGAGAAGGACCCTATTCTTTTATCTCATATCTTTTTTAAATAAGCCAGTTTGAGCCTTTTCCTAAACCATCTCATACCAGCACATCACTTTAATTAAACACTGAGTGTTTTTAATACTTTCACTCCATTTATTGAAATATACATTCTTTTTATGTCTGTTGGGGCACATAAGATCTTAAAATGTGGATCATTTCTGTAAATAAATCCTCCCTCCCTCTCTCTCAACAAATAGTTTTTTAATGGTATCTGTTTATTTCTAGCTCTCTACATTTTTTTTTCAATTTCTTTGAGCAACAATGCAAGCAAGATTTACATTGAGATGTTAAGACATTTTGGTAGAGCTCAGACTTAGTAGGTAGAAGTTCAGTAACTTATATTACAATACTCATGTCACATAACATATAAGGATTTTGCTCAATGGAGGCTTTTCAAATCAAAGCACATTTTTTAAAGCAGTTGTACAGAAAGAAGAAGGAAGTGCAGGAAGTAGATCCCGGCTAGCTTTGTACACTACTGCAAGAGTTTTAAATTTGATTAAATACTTGTAAGGTGAACTTTTCCGGTTTGTAGAATTTAAGCAGGAATGAACGATAAAGGATTAGTGTGGTTATGATAATCAGCCTGATTATCATTCATGGTTATGAATGCTCTTTTCTGCAGTCTGTATAGTGTTATGAGAGTTGTCCTTTAGGTGTGACCCCTGACTTCTACACATAAACTCAGATATGGTAAAATCAGTGAACAAAGACAGTGTAATGCTTTTAGAAAATGTTTTGCTTTTCTTAGAGTTGCAATACATAGTTTAGTCTGTACATGTTTAATCTGAGCCTTACAGTAGGTCCTGTAGTCAATGATCGCACATAAGAATTTCAATTTATTTATTCATTCTACCTCTATCCAATCTATTTTCACTTTCACATGTATATCTCCTATATCATTTCAATATGACATGAACTTAGTTTTCTCCAGATTCTACAGTCATTTATCATAAGGTTTAAATAATGAGCCAAATAATTATTATAGGAAGTCAATTAAGAAGTTAGAAACCAGATCATTAACAGATCATAATCATTTTAGATATTCTTTTACTGTTTGGTTTAAGTAAGACTCCCTTTGTTTAGTGTGGAGGAGGAGTAAGTGATAAAGACATGGTTACATTAGGAATCATATTTACATTAGCGTATGACGGTCTTTGACTGTAACGTGGAGCAAGCAGGCTCGAATCCTGGTTGCTCAGGGAGGGCATCCAGTTTAAATACTTTGACAAGTCGGTGAGAGAGTCTTAAACTTTCTGCAGTAACCTCTGAATATGGAAGCAGCCCAGAAAGAAGAACAATCATGTGATATCTGCCCTTTAAGTCATTTTACAAAAACTTTGCATCAGTTCTGTTACAGTATTTACATCCATCTTTTTCTAAGTTATCCACATTTACTCTGATTACATTTTATATTATTTAAAGTACTATTTATGTATTTTGATCATCAAAATTAATTATATCTTAATATTAAAAATAGACCACTAGCGACAGATATCTTAAATGAACAATTAAACCTTTTGCCATTTTATATATATAAACCTCACTTTGATGAAGGAACCAGCTGAATAATGATAGTAATAAGGGTTAACAAAAACAAAAAAATTATATATATATACAGTATATATATATATATATATTTTTTTTTTATTTTTTTTATTATTTTTTTTTTGCCAAGTCATTTTTGAAGAACTGACAAACAATTTTTTCTCTCCTTCTATCCTTTCATATTATATTGCCTTTGAAGTGTTTGGAAGGATGATGGGTTCCTCACAATAGCAACCCACTGCTCCCCAAAGGGATGGGTTAAATGCAAAAATAAATTTCTATAATGTGAGATCAATAAAGTTCTGTCATCTTAAAGATGTTTATCTGAACAGGGAATGTCGTTTCTTCTTCTCTGTTTGCCTGCATCTTAGGATCATACCGGCCACCAGTTCACTGTGCTGTTTTAAAATGAGGCTTGGACTTAGTATATAAACTAAGAAAAGTACTAAACAAAAGCATAGAAATAAGATAATAAATTGTATGCATTTTCAGACCCTTACTACTTAAAATCAGTGAATCCACCGTCTGTATACAGATGAGTAATAATTGAAGTGCAAATGTGAGTGGATTTATCATCCAATACAATAAATAAAATATAAAGCAACCTATACAAACAATTAAATATGGAAGAGAAACTATTTGTCAGCTGCTTTAGTGAAGCTGCTTTGCAATGCTC